CGGCCGATAGGCTAGGAATGCATTCGTAGTGAGGCCGTGCAGCAGAAAAGACGCAAGTAAAACGTGCTTCGTTGTTTGTATGCAGAAAAAAGTAATGAAACTTCAAATTTTTTTCATTTCGATCAAGAATTTCTTACAGTATACTTATCAAAACAGCAAATAGTAGTCAAAGAATGTTTTTTTTTCGGCGAATTGTGCATTATGGTGGAGTTCAACTTGATAAATATCTCATGCACAATTACTATGTGCTAAAAGCTCACTATCTAATAGAGGCAGTGTTTTTTGTGATTCCATAATAACATATGATCTTTCAAGGATCATACATACCAATTTCTTTCGAATGGTTGCTGTTCATAGTGACAAACTGAAAACAATTTTACTTTGGTCGTTATTTCAAGTATCCTCCTTGCTCCCATAGTCTACAAAAGTGGATGTGCGTGTGGGTGTGTCTTTGCTCACGTGGGGATGCCGATTTTAGCGTGACTTAGAGGGTGGGTGTAAGCGTGGTTGTGGATGTGGCTGTGTCTGTGGGATGTGAAACTTCTTTTTATCCACACCTCACACCCACACCCACATTCACTGCGAGTTTTGGATGTGGGTGTGGCGTGCGAGTAGAATACGGAATATAAGACTGACACCCACACCCTTTCGTGAATGGCTTAATTCATGGAGCCAATCGTTCCAGAAAATTCTTTTTTTTGCATTTTTCCCACAATGAAAAGTTGATTTTTCTGCTCGCAGTTTTTTCGAATAACTTTCATAAAGAAATCTGAATACACGGTTGAATCGGGCTCGTTGAGCTGCATGTTTCTCATAGCGATTCTTAGTCTTTTCTGGCAAATGTAATGGGAATGATAATGCTAGCGCTACAACATTTCGTCATGTTCATAAGTACGCGTTTGCGTTTGCATCTTTCGTACTAGCGCGAGGGTGTCGGTAGAGTGTGTGCGAAAGAATTTTGTTAACACTCACATCCACACCCATGCCCGCACGCAACACCCGGTTATTTTTCTTTATTGTTTAGATTTTTATTTGAATAAGACGACGACACCGCCAACTGAACTCGATGATGGTATGAAAAGTGTGGAACTACACAACAAGGACAGGATAGAAGGTAAACAAGAAATTCAAGATGAAAAAAAGATCAACTACGAAACAATGATGGGAAACAATGTGAACTAAATGTGCAAAACAATGAGGAGCTAAAAGATGAACTAAAACATGGTAACGAGACAAAGACTGAAATAATAGATGTCGCAGTTTGAAATGAACCTATTCCTACAGATTCTGCAACTTGTCAGAATTCATTCGTTTCATTGTCTATCACATTATATATACTATGTTATGCTAAGGCGAATCATAGCTGGACAATTCAAGCTATAATTGATGAAGACATGAAAATTGATTTCAGCAGCAGCGAAGCTCTGAATGTTCACGAGGTTAGTTGATCAATAATTTACGAGATTCGAGCTACAGAAGAAATTGAATATTGATTTAAAAAACTTTTGATACACCATTGAGATCTCATCTATACTTTAGTTTAATACAAATAATTATGAAAGTCCATTTCTCTACCAGCTTCAACTAAATGTTCTTCTCAAGAGTAGTGAAGAAATTTTTATTCGCGATAGCAAAGCACATCGTAAAATTGCATCGTACCAACTTCGCATACCAGATCCACGGATCACATGGACGTCCCATTACAAAGAAGAATATCTTCGTCATCTCAAAGCTGGTCCATCAATGTCGCATCAATTTTTATTTAACACTTATTTCAAAGACGGAACCATATCGTACGCTCCCGGTAAGAAAGTACTGCACTCATACCTATTTCTATAGAAACAATCTTCTTAGGCCATAGCATACCATTTTGGAATCATCTATACATTTTTACTTATTTTCTTCTGAGCACACAATCTTACGACAAAGTCGATTTATTTTTCGATCAATTTGCAACTGCCGTAATGAGTCGTAACAGTACTATTTCGCAAACAAATTTGAGAATATTTTTCGATCTGTATGCTAAATATATATCAACAGTCGAAAATGCCCTGAAACACGATCTTGATGCCATAAAAATTCTTATTCGTATGATTGCTCTTTTAACTATAAGTCAAGAAAATATAATTACCGACCTAACAGCTGTAAATTTTGCGTCAGCCATTCCCAAGAATTTATTTGGTAAGCTGAATGCTGTCTTGAAAACAATCAATGAAAATGACTGGATATCCTTTTGCCAAGCTTTAATAATACTAATTTGCATTAAACTAACTTATCACAAAAATGCAAATGAGGCAAGCGATGTTATTGATTTACTCTCAAAAATGCCTGAAGAAAAACAACGAAAAGAGGTCGTACTAAAATTGCTTGATTTATTCTATCGTTTACGACATAGATTATCCAGTAACGAAGGAACGAAGCTATTCACCTTAGTTAAACTCGATGATCTCAAACTGAACTATCTCGAATTAGCAGATTCGCTTGAAACCTATATACTTTACCTTCCTTATTTTATCAACAACTCTGAAGTGGATATGACCATTTTGAAAGAAAATATTACAGACCAAATTGACAGACTGTCTGAAAAAAATCATTTTCTCAGTAAGCAATTATGAGAAAGGAAGAAAGAATAAATCTTCGATTCTAATTATCTTTTAGTTACATCAGCCAACACTGCATTCGTTCTAAATTACTTGAAAGAGCAAAGCGACAACAAATCAACTCTACTAATTCAATCTATTTTCCAAACAGATGATGCATTAAGAATAAAAATTGTGAATTATTTAAACGCAAGAGTTGGTTACATTCCCGTGAATGAGCTTTCTCTCATTCGTGATATTATGTTTCGTTCATATCATTCATTTTTATTACATAGCATCAATCGGTAGAATTATATTTCGCGTACACTCAGCCGACGAACATACCGAACAAATGATTACCTTCTTACTTGGTTCGAATGTTTTCTATGTGAGACAGATGAAGATTGGATTGATTATGAAGCATTGACTGGACAATGGACCGACTGTTTTGTTACTGATAAAGAAATGTTCTCCGAAATCGTGAAAAAAGTCGATTTCCTTATAAATTCTTGGACAAAAGTTGCACCAAATAATAGTCAACGTTTGAACTTTTTTGTGAAGCATATGGTCACGCAATGTTTCCGACAAGGTAAAAGAAAGTGGCGCTAGCTAGCTAGTTGGCTATTCCATTTTCTTTTTCAATCAGTAGTTTGATCGGATAGGTATGTTTGCCAATTTGAGTGTGGCTAAATAGAAGTTCCACACCAACTAGAGGATTAGACAAGAAAGCCTAGAAGGACATGTTTTTCAAGAAGTTCCATTTTAGCTGAACGCATTGAAGAAAACAATTTGATTATGGCTAGTGCGGATTAAAATTTTAATTGATAATATTTAGACCTCGAAAATTTTCACAATATGCCCTACACTCACCAGCATATCCTCGTATATTTTAGCAGAATCAGTTGTGTCATTTCTGTGATACTGAATTTGTAAATAGATTGTAGAAAATCAAGTTCTTTTTACGATTTTTAAATTTTAGGTGGAAATATCATCATTCACTCCCTGCACATACAGGTAAGTACAACTGAGATTTTCGTGGAAAAATAGAAAACGCAAACTAAGTAGACATATCCTTCGGATTTTTTATCTAGTATCACGGGGTACTAGGTATGGGTGGCATCTACTTAATAATGTCAAGTGTGTGTCTGGACCCTCTCTGATTAGCTAATTGAAACAACTGACCAAATTTTAGAATCTTTTTCTTTTCACTCATTCTCTACGTCTCAGATGATGGTATCGGTGTAGAAGTGGCTCTTCGCAGCTGAAACTTGTTTATTGTGTTGGGCCCTGCTATTCACTTTAGATATAGTGCTGTAGTAGAGACAAATGGTTATAGTTGGATCCAAGCGAATGCTGATGTTTTCTATACAATTCGAAATAATCTGGGTGTACGTCTCTATACAAACTCAATTGGTTTCGTTAAAATAGTTGATGTAGCATCACCAATGACACTTACGTCAATTTTCACAGGGTTTGAGAAATCCGGTTTTTGGTGTGTTTATTAAACAAACCGGCAAAATTCTGTAGAATTCACTAGTACTGAATGTGTTTGTCGATATGATCAACTTGAGAGAGTTTTTCATAAAAACATACCAATTCTTCATACGCAAGGTGCCGGAAATGCAAAATTTCAGTGAATTTTTTTTCTCGTGCGTTTATATATGGTTTGGTAGAGCTTGAAAAGCTGATCACGAATATATACTTTTTATTTCGATTTGATCACTGTTTGGCTGAGAAAAACCCTCAAAAACTAGAAAAACTAAGAAATTACATTTTTACGTTGAATTTTTTTTCTATAGAAATTGTCAGATTTTAATTTCAGTTATTTTGTGAATTTTTTGAAACTAGTATATTCTGAATCAGCATGAAAAACTGAGTAGAAAAATGTTAATAGATTAGATTTCGACCTAATAAAACTAAAAAATTCCTATTTGATGTAAATAGGTCGATCAGACTAAAAGTATGTATCAGTGATCATTCTTGTAAACCTATCTAGTTTTTTGGAACAAGAGACAGAAGCAAGTGTCTTATCTCGTTAGAATTGTCAGATCATGGGCTACAAAAGATATTATTCTTTTTTTCAAAATTTTGTTCTACTGTTGAGAAAATCGAATTTCTTTCCTGTTCGGCGGTAACATGAGGCGAAATGAAGAAAAATATGTTGTTATTTAGTAGTTTTTATTATCATGGTTCAGTCAAAACGCAAAACAGACAATATATTCGAAACCAGCGTCAAAAACTACATCGAACTATATACATTCTAGCAAAAATTGTTTCCCAAGAAAAATCGACCTGTGGTGTGGGGTGTGTGGGTGTGCGTGTGGCTGTTGTTTAAGAAATGATCAACACTCACACCCAGACCAATCGAAAAGACGTCGAATAGCAGATATTTTACAAGAATCTAATATTGATTTTGTTCGAATGGGACATCATGAAATAGTACTTGATATTGATGTTAAACTCCCGAGTCAACAGCAAAACACAACAGCTAATGATGAACAAAAAGAACAAAGTATACAATTTGCCGATTTAAGTGAACTTCGTGATCGCGCACGTCTACTCGAATATTCTAGTAATGTACAAAAGACTGATAATAATCAACATGATGTGGATAAATTGCGTAAATTCATTCAATTGGTCAGTGTTATTGAAACAACTTTAGAAACACTAATAACCTTATATACGACCTGTCATCCGTCAGCTTCAAAATTTCTGATGCCAGAAAAACGTTTCTTATGTACAAATGGAAATTATGATCAATTAATACAAAACAATACAACAATAACTAATTTACTTGATAATTGGGAAAAGAAGTTGTTTTCTATGTATGAAATATATAGTCATTTGACATACTTAACAGATGATCAATTTCGGCTTATTGAAGATTTTATTTACAATCCATCAACATCTTCAGTTTCTCATCCCGATTATCATCTTCTTGATTTATTGATATTGATCCAAAATTAATTCAAAATGTCGACAAACAGCCCAACAAACCAGAAGATCGTCTTGAAAAGCTTGGATCTTTATTATCACAGCAACGACTACAACTTTGTATGCAAAAAGAAAATTTGAAAAATGAGAAAATCCTTCTTGTTGAAACGACAAATGAAGGTATTCTTCGTGCTATTCTATCTCTATTTAAAAAAACAAAAAATTCAGTGCACATTCGTCATCTTTTCTATTGTACAACACGAACAAACTGGATACAAATTCGCGGATTTATCTATCGTTGTTTCTATTCACAATCATTTCATCAACTGATTCGACCTGAAATTCTTTCACAATCTGTTCAAGATCAATTTGCTCGTTTACTACGTTCACTAATTGAAGATAAATCTGATCAAAATTTTAGGATCGGTATTATTATAGCAACTACCATTAGGAATCAACATCTTATTAATGGACTTCGATCGATGCGCATTGTCGATATTCTACGTGATCAAGATTTATTAAATAAAACAGATTTTCAAAATTAATTCAAGACATGAATAAAAATTGTATACTTGTTACATCAAGAATACCTGGTCTAGGAAAATCGACTATTATTCGTCAGACAATAAAAAAATCAAATAAAAAAGATGTGAAATTTCCAATCTATGGTGATTTTGATGTTGATACATTGGCTGAACGACTTCGTTCGAAATATTCTCAACTTCAAACAGGAGCCATTCATCTTGATATTGGCACGACTGCTAATAGACAACAATTGAATGAAATTCTTTATTGTTTACTACTTTTTCGAAATTTTCGTTTTGGATACGTGACTGTTTCAGTACCGGCCGAGACAATTGTGTATATTGAACTTGATGCATCACCTGATGCAACTCTTAATGAATTACCATTGTTTCAACATATAACTCCATCGATAATTGTCGAAAAAGTCGATTGGACGAGTCTTAATATAGGAAATAAAGAAATTCAAGCTGTAGCAAATTATTTGAAAGCTATCCACACTAAAGCACTTATGAAACAGGATGTCAATCCATCAATGTTCCAAAATTTGGATGTAAAAACATGTTCTCGTCTTATACAAGGTCCATTTCTTCCAAAAAAAGATGATAATTACATAGCATCGACTCAATTACCGATTTTTGTTGCCGTATTTCATCGTTTATTTACAGGTTTTTCACATTGTAGTTATTTCTTAGTTGGATCAGTTCCGGAACCACAACTTCGTTTTGATCGTGTTCAAATACTTCTTGCATCATCAAATCAATTTACTTCACTCTCAGTTGAAGCTGTTCGTAAACAACAACGATCAGCTGCCAGTGGCGAACCGACAACATTCAGTGATGCCATTGTTCGATGGGATACAATTCAACCGTTTACATTAGTTTTCACGGTAAGTGATGAACCACTCTTTGTCTACAAGAAACCGACCGATGTACCTCAAGCACTTGTCAAATATTTCAAATTTTGCTATGACGCATTAGGACAAAATTCAATGATGCAAACTACAATGTTTCCAAATTATATCACCCTTGGGCATGATAAACTTTTTCTCAAATTAGATTCACTCTCACGTAAATATTTTAAAAAATCAATTTGTCCGAAATGTTTTAGACAATATGATTTTAAACAACAAAAATGTGATAAATGTTTGAGCAAAGATACTCTTATTCTACCGAAATCATTCGATCATAAAGATGTCGAACAATTTCAATTTGATATAGCAAAAAAACTTGAAACTGATTATGTTCTTACACGAGATAATTTTATTAAAATGCTTCTTATTTATATGCGAATACAAAGTGGTATTCCTGTTTTGATCATGGGTGAAACAGGATGTGGTAAAACATCATTAATTCAATTTTTATGTCAAAAAGTTCTCGATGAAGATCTAGAAATATTTAGCATTCATGCTGGTGTCACAGCTGATATTATTATTAATAAAATGAACAATTGCATTCACAAAGTTCAAACATATACTAATAAAGAAAAACGTTTATGGATCATTTTCAATGAATTTAATACGACACCAAATATTGGTCTTCTCAAAGAAATTATGTGCGAACGAACATTACTCGGAGAATCATTGCCAGATAAGATGGTGTTTTTGGGTGCTTGTAATCCTTGGCGACAGAAGACAACAAAAATTCTTCGGAATGATAATGTTTATGTTGGCTTACGAAAAAATCGTTATGCAATGGGTGTGGGTGTGGGGTGTGAATTTAAAGGAAAGTAATACCAACACCTACACCCACACTCACACCCATACTCACCCACACCCACACCCAGCTTTAGTCTTTATATTGGAAAATGATATGAAATAAATTATCTATAAGATATATAATAAACCACTATATAATTCGGTTTTGAAAAATAAAAATAAAAATTCTTACTGTCTTACCACCTATCAGGACACATTAAGTCCGCAGAATAGGTCAAAATTGAATATATATCCTATCCTGCCATTTACAAGGATAGAGGTTGGTAGCAGTACAAATTAGAATGGAGCAAAACAGAACAGGACAAAAAAGTTGTCCTGTGCTCAT